CAGGGCTCTGCTCACACCGTGGGGTCTCTCTGCAGCTGGACCCCGAGCAGGAGGCGGCGCGCCGGGGCCGCGGTGCCCAGGAGAAGATGGCTTATTCCCTGGTGTCCGTGCCCGAGGGCAACGACATCTCCTCCATCTTCGAGCTGGACCCCACCACCCTGCGAGGGGGAGACAGCCTCGTGCCCAGGTACAGTCACTGTCTGCCACAGCTCAGCCATTCTTGTGGGTTTTTAAAGTAAAGCTGCCCCAGACTATTTTCCTTTTGTCCTTTTGGAATTGAGTTACTCCTCAAATGAGTGTAGAAATAATCAGGAAATGCCCGAAGCTTCGCTTGAGTGCTTTGTAATTGAGGTATAAGTAAGAGAACACCATTTTACAGATGGGAAAATTGAGATTAAGTGACTTCCTAAGTGACTTCCTTGCCAGGAATGACCTGAGACTAAAAGCCTTGGGTGTCCTATCAAGGCATTCATTCCTGTGACCTGTCTGCATTGTGTTAGGATGTAACACCAGTTATTTAGCACTGGATTTTGTATTGTTTATGTGTTCTTTACTGTTCATGTGGCACTTCTTGCTGTTGAAAAGCTGCTGCACCCTTCCAAGTCACACACTCTGCACATGGAGAAAGCACAGCAAGTTTGTTCCATCTATTCAGCAACTCCCTAAATCATCAGATATTTTGGAGTATCAGGGAGTTCTGGGCTGAAAACCCCAGAGGTAAGGGGAGAAGTTGGCAGCTCACAGCAGTGGAAAAGTGAGGATGGGAGAGGTTTTAGATTGTTGCTGTGCAGCAGCAGCTCAGAGTGGCTGTGGTTTTGTTTTAGAGCAGAATCTCTTTGATTCTAGGAGAAACCTTCCTCAGGTGAATTCACAGAATGAGCTAAGGCAGTAAGAATGTTGTTGCAGTTGTGGTATGCAGTTGTGGACAGAGATGACACTTCTTTTCCACTTGTTCCTGCCAGCATCTCAAAATCCCAACAGCGCAAAGATTCCCCAGCTGGGGAGCTGAGTCATGCTGGGGCACTCCTGCCTTTCTTTCAGGAACTCCTATGTGAGGCTCAGGCACCTCTGCACCAACACCTGGGTTCACAGCACCAACATCCCTATTGATAAAGAGGAGGAGAAACCCGTGATGCTCAAAGTAAGTTCTGCTACTTGGTGTGAGCCCATCCTTTGATTCCTGTACTTCCACAGAAGTGGTGTTGGCAGGAGTTTCACTCCCTGAGCCTGTCACACACACTGAGCATGTGACAGTAATGAATGGTGCCTGTGCAAAATATTTGCTCTTAATGGCTCAGTTTCATGGTAGTTTTGTAGTTACACTGTTCAACTTCTACTCCACAACAGTCAGCAGGAGGAGGATATTTTTTCCACTGGCTACAGCAACATTTTGCCATCTCTCCTGCTGCTCCTTTGGATTTAGGAACATCTCTGAGCTTGCACAGAATGTTCTCAGGTTTTTAGGGTCAGCAGTGGTCCCATGCTGCCTAAGCACAGTGTGGCTTTTCTGTCTCATTATCTCTGAGTGGGTGAGCCACTGCTTTGTTCCTGCCTTGGGGTTTGCTGATAAAGCTTCTCTGGGTTTCAGATTGGGACCTCTCCAGTGAAGGAGGACAAAGAAGCTTTTGCTATCGTGCCAGTCTCACCTGCAGAGGTTCGGGACTTGGATTTTGCAAATGATGCAAGTAAAGTTTTAGGTTCCATTGCTGGCAAGCTGGAAAAGGGAACAATAACCCAGAATGAAAGAAGGTAAGGAAACCATAACTGGGATCAGATAATGTTGTTTCCTTTAGTCAGTAACTGTTTCTTTGAAAATTTGATCAGAATAAGCTATAGAAGAGGGATTTGGTTTCCTCCTTGATGAGATTGGCTATTGTTGTGTCCATAGTGGAGGTTCTCAGGCCTGGTCTGTCCAGCCCTCCTTGTCCTCTGTGAAGTGAGAGCATGAGAAATGTTGTGAGCCTGGGGGACTAATCCCCAGCATAGCTCTGCAAATGGAGTGTGGGAATTCCTAATCCATCTTGTGAGCACTGAACATGTGACTTGCTGCAAATCCTCTGACCGTGTCTGTGAAAATGTGGCCACACAAAAAGAGCACAGAGGTGGCTGTGTCACACCAGGGCCCCCATAGCCAGTGCCTTTTATTTGGCCTTGGAGAGATTATCACCTGATTTATTGTTTGTGGCAATTGGAAGAAGTGCCAAATAGAACTTGGCAAGTATAGAGTTGTCCTAAAGTGATTTTCTTGTCTTGCTGCTGCTCTGGTTTAGCTGTTGGACAGTGAGGCTGCAGCAATGGAGGAGCATTAATTCCTAATTTTAAGTTCTGTGCAAACCTCTGAGCTTTATCCAGTCTCTAATTGCTGTTAGTTTTTCACTTAGCATTTGGAAATCTGTGTAAACTTAACCTGGCACTGCTCTTTTAGCTCAGGGAATTTGTATTCTCATGTTAACAACTTCTGGCTCTTCTGTAGATCTGTTACCAAACTGTTGGAGGATTTGGTCTACTTTGTTACTGGTGGAACTAATTCTGGCCAGGATGTCCTTGAGGTGGTGTTTTCTAAACCTAACAGAGAACGGCAAAAGCTGATGAGAGAGCAGAATATTCTGAAGCAGGTAGGCTGTGGTTTTCTTTGAGCTCTGCCTGTGAGAAGAATTATTGGAAAAAAAGAACCTGATAACAGAGAACCTGGCCAGGTTGGACAGGGCTTGGAGCAACCTGGAGTGCTGTGAAGTGTCCCTGCCCATGGCAGGGGATTGGAATGAGATCATCTTCATGGTCCCTTCCAACCCAAGCCATTCTGTGGCTCTGTGAAACTGATCTCAAATTATTGGGACCTTTGAGTTTCCAGCTTTCATCAGGCTCTGGGCAGTGGATTGCAGGCTCACCATTGCTGGAACTAAAAAATTCCAGCAGATGGTGTTGAATAAAGGTGATCAGCATCTTCTGTCCGAGAACCTTGGTGCCTGCAGCACATTCCTGATGCTCCTTTTGAAACACAGAGCTTTGACGCTCGTGCTGAGCAGAAGAAGGCAGTGCCTGATGGGGTCGTGTGTGTGTTTTTTTTTTTACTGAATCTGTAGATTTTCAAGCTGTTGCAAGCCCCCTTCACGGACAGCGGGGACGGGCCGATGCTGCGGCTGGAGGAGCTGGGGGACCAGCGCCACGCGCCCTTCAGGCACATCTGCAGGCTCTGCTACAGGGTGCTCAGGCACTCCCAGCAGGACTACAGGAAAAATCAGGTTGGAAATGGCGTCTGGCATGATCAGAGCCACCGGCACAGGGTTTCTGTGCTCAAAAAAAAAAAAAGCTTGGAAAAAAAAAAGTGAAGTAAATAAGAGCAGGGTTTGCTTTACTTAAATGAAGTAAACCCTGCACTGATGTGGTTGCACAGTCAGCAAGAGGTTTTGGGATGGCTCAGTTTCGTTCTGTTGTTCATTTTTCATCTCTGTCAGAGGCTATAAGGTAATTAGCGCTGGTTCCAAGTGGGATTTAAGAAAACAACAGAATTTCTAACTGTCCCACACAGGTGAATTACAAGACTCTGTTCACTCTTGCTGACTACAGGCTCCATTGAAAGTTGCCCTGTAAATTGAGGCTGTTCAGTTTTTGTTGCCGTGTATTAAAAACAAGGTCCTGTCAGATAAGTATAGGTGCCTTGCTGGTGTCTAGCCCAGAAGAGAGGGGAGGGATGGAGGTATTTATTAAGGCTGGCTCTCATTGTTTGCTTTCTTCCACACAAGCAATTTGGATCTAACCCAGTTTGCTCCTTGGCATGTTGATATTGACAAACATCCACCTGTTTTCTGTTATTATTTCAAATTCTGAGGGTTAATTACACCCCCACTTCCCTCTTGCCCGTGTGTTTTGAAGGAATACATTGCCAAGCAGTTTGGCTTCATGCAGAAGCAGATTGGCTACGACGTGTTGGCCGAGGACACCATCACAGCCCTGCTCCACAACAACCGCAAGCTCCTGGAGAAGCACATCACAGCTGCCGAGATTGACACCTTTGTGAGTCTCGTGAGGAAAAATAGGGAGCCCAGGTGAGAGCTGCATTTTTGAATATGTGATTACCCTTCTCCTCCTGGGAAAAGTCAGTACCTGCCAGCTAGCTCAGGAGGAAGCACAGGCAGTGCAGGGCGTTCTGGCACTCGCCCTGCCGTCCCCTCGGGCTGCAAGTCTTGCTCTGAACACAAGTGGAGTTCTGAATGTTTGCCTCTTGAAATGTCGATTGCTTCAGTCTAGATCTCAGCAGTGATTGATACCCTTTTGGCTCGTGTTTTCCAACAGGTTTTTGGATTACCTCTCGGATCTGTGCGTTTCCATGAACAAGTCTATTCCCGTGACACAGGAGCTGATTTGTAAAGCTGTGCTGAACCCAGCCAATGCAGACATTCTCATTGAAACCAAGTGAGTTCCTGCCTTTCAAGATGGTTCTCCTGGTGTGAAGCAGAAGGAAGGTGGTTCAAAGCTGAGCAGGCTGCTGGCACGTCCCAGGGAAGCAGGGAATGAATTGTGTGGGGTCCTTTTCAAGCTCAGGGAACGGGGCTGGGGACAGCAGGTGTCTGCCAGGTGCATCCTCAGCCCCGCAGGCAGAAATCCATCACACGTCTCCTGTTTGATCCCCAGCACACAGGCTTTGCAGGGAGCTGTGCAGGCTCCTGCTCTGTCCTCCCCCAGCAATGAGGGAGCTCGGCTGGCAGCAGAGCAGGAGCTGGCCCAGCTCTGCTCACCTTTCCTCCCACTGAGCTGGGTTTGGGTCCCCAGCTCTCCTCTGCCATTGCTGAGGCCTCATAGCAGGCACCAAATCCTGGTTGTCTTTGATAAAGACAGCTTAATTCAGTATATATATATATATAGGGAATAGATAACCATTATCAAAATACTGCAAAAGGAAAGCAGTATTTAGTATTTAGATGTAGTATTTAAAACACAAATGGCTGCGAGTATACTTGCACATTTAATTCTTGTCATGAAATGATAAAGGCTGTATTTATTTACAAGAGTACTTCATGCTGGTGCATCACTTATTTCTCCTTGAGTATTTAATTTGGATTTTTTTTCAGATGTTAATATTTTCTTTACTGGAACCCTTTTTAGTATCACCAGCTGATCTATTTCTAGTTATTTCATCACTTAAACAGAAAGAAGTTCTGATCCATTTGGCATTTATGGGGTACAGAATGAATCAATTTCTTCTTTCCCATATCTTTTCCTGGTCTGTTGAATCATCTTTGAATTGGTTCTCCTGTAAAGAAGGTTTTGAAAGTCTATTATTACGTGCCTTAACTTCCTTGTTTCTTCATCTTTTTCACTTGAAAGGAGCTGAAATGTTCATCTTTCTAAAGTTGAATGGAAAGCTTATAATCTAATGCTTTTAATAATGCACCCCAGTGATTTGGTGTAGTAAAATGCTGCTGGTGAGAGGGTAAGATACATTTTAGCAAATGTCTTAAATGTGAAGGATGTATGTGGGTCCGGAATGTAACCTCCCCTCCTCCTGGCAGGTTGGTGCTCTCCCGGTTTGAATTTGAGGAAGTGGCGAGTGGAGAAAATGCCTTGGAAGTTGGAGAGGACGAGGAAGAAGTGTGGCTGTTCTGGAGGGACAGCAACAAGGAAATCCGCAGCAAGAGCATCCGAGAGCTGGCCCAGGACGCCAAGGAGGGGCAGAAGGAGGATCGGGACGTGCTCAGCTACTACAGGTGAGCACACACCTGTGTTGAGTGAGGCCAGAGCTCAGCAGGGCTGCCTGGGGAGCTCTGGGAGCAAAGCTTCTGTTCCATGCACAAAACACCTTAGAGAGGGAGGGTGAGGTTTCAGCAGTGAGAGCTGAAAGCACAGAGTTATTCATAGTGAGGAGTCCAGGTATTGACATGAGCCAGTTTAAACTAACTTTTAAAAATTAATTCAGGCTTCGAGTATGTCGAATTTCCCAAGCACTTGGTGCTTGGTTTCCTGCTGTGGGTGTTGGAAGAGCCCCTGCAGGTGACCACTGGGCTCCCTGTGTTCAGGGGCCACTTGGGGACTGCAGGATTTGGGTGTGTAGGTGGCTTTGCTTTTGGTTTGCAAGAAGCCACAGCTCTCCTCTGTGCCTGCTGCTTTCTCTGCAGGCTCTTAGTGGTCCTGAGTTGGCAGCAGCACAAGCAGGAGGTGGTGCTGGTGGCCCAGGCTGGGTGTGGAGGGAGTGCAGGGCTGTTTGCACAGCCCAGCCGTGCTCTGGGCAGCTCTGACACCAGCCGTGTTTCCAGATGACTTGACAAGACACCGAGTTCTTGGCACAGTGGAAGGTCAGGTTGCAGCCCAGACCAAATTCCTGTGTCTGGGTTATAAACCCCTGAGAGTCATTTGACAGACTCAGTTGTGGCAGTGCAGAAAGCACAACTAGATTGTTTGTTTAAATAACCATTTTATTTTGGATTCTCTCTTCCATTGAAATGATTCTTGCAGGAGAATTCCTAATACCTGATTTTATTTGAGCCTGCTGGAGCTCAAAAGGAGGCCTCTTAGATAAAAGTTTTTTTAAACATATTTGTTTTCAAAGTAGGTATTTTGCTTGTTTTAAATAGAATTGATAATTTTTGGTGTATTGGTATAACAATGGTAGTGTTATTTTTTAGTCTACATTGTGCAGACTATGTACCTGCTTAAGCATTTTTAAGCATAAACATGCCTCAAAGAATGGCTTGGGATCTGGTTTGGTAAAATTCCCTGAGGACTACTGAAAGTGAAAGGAATCTGCCTTCAATTCAATCTTTTCTTTAGGAAGCCTCCCCCTTGAGAGTGCTGAGCAGCAGCCTGTGGGCACTGCTGAGTGCTCTGGGGCTGAAGGTGAATGATCAGCCTGTGCTTGGGCACCAGTGAGGGGCCAGGGATCAGTTCATGGGCTGAAGAGCTCAGGACTGGAGCTGAGTTTTTCCCTATCAGTTATCTCCCTGAAGGGAGCAGAGCTCAGCAGTTGTTTGATCAGGTTCCTGATTTCTGATCAATCTGTGCTGTTACCTCAGGGCCAAGTGTGGCTTCAGCATCTGTGAGAAGCATTTGGCCGTACACAGCCTTGAGTTGCCTTAAGTGTTGTTTGCATTCTGCTGTAGCTTTTATAAAATACATGATTTATTATTTATTATTTCCTCTGAGGGTGCCCAGCGCAGCTGTGGCTGCCCCTGGATCCCTGGCAGTGCCCAAGGCCAGGCTGGACATTGGGGCTGGGACATTGGAAGTGTCCCTGCCATGCAGGGGTGGCACTGGGGCATCTTTAAAGTGCCTTCCAACCCAATCCAAACCATTCTGTGATTTTATGATATTTATGTTATTTATTCTATGCTAACTTATTTTATTGTTCCACTGTTTGCTAGTGTTTGATGAGTGCTTTATTCTTTCCACAGTAAGGCAGGAGCTGTATTACTAGACAATATAATATTATTTCTATTAATACATTAGTATATCAGTATACTTTATATATATTTATATCTTCTTTTTATGTCTTTATGGTTTATATTTATTTATGGTTTATATATCTTTTTATGTATATAAAGTATACTTTACATGTACCTATATGCTTTGTATCTAATACATAAAGCACATTGTATATATTTATATTTGTTTTATATGTATCTATGCTTTATATATATTTTTATGTACATAAAGTATACTTTATATGCTTCATATACTAATATACATATATACTATACGCTTCATATCTAATATATAATGTAGATTATAATAATAGATTATTATATAATAATATATTGTAATATGATAATATATACTATTATTATCTTATTACCGTATATATTATTATAATATATGTTATTCTATTATAATATATTTTTCTATTATGATATATTATCATATTATAATATACATTATTCTATTATGATATATATTATGATATATATTATTATATTACAATATATTATTCTATTGTGATATATATTATGATATATGTTACTATTACAATATATATAATATAAAGTACATTATATATATTTATCTATACTTTACAGCACACAGAAAATCCAACCAGAAGCTCCAATCCCCCATCAACTAAACCATTTAATATCCTCCCTATTTTATTTTTCCCCCTTTCCCCCCTGCAGGTACCAGCTGAACCTCTTTGCCCGCATGTGCCTGGACCACCAGTACCTGGCCATCAACGAGATCTCATTATAATATATTATTATGTATTGTTATATTATTCTATTAGTATATATATGTTATTCTATGACAATATCTGTCATATAAAGTACATTATATATATATATTTATATATAGTTTACAGCGCACAGAAAATCCAACTACAAGCTTCAATCCCCCATCAACTAAACCATTTAACATCCTCCTTATTTTGTTTTTTTCCCCCTCCCTGCAGGTACCAGCTGAACCTCTTTGCCCGCATGTGCCTGGACCGCCAGTACCTGGCCATCAACGAGATCTCGGGGCAGCTGGACGTGGACCTGATCCTGCGCTGCATGGCCGATGAGAACCTGCCCTACGAGCTGCGAGCCTCCTTCTGCCGCCTCATGCTGCACATGCACGTGGACAGGGACCCCCAGGAGCAGGTGACTGCAGGGGGCTGCCAGCAGCCTCTGTGCATTGTGACACTCTGCTGCATCTCAGCCATCTGGAGTTTCGGAGCTTTCCGGGCACACATCGCCCTGGAGCTGCTCTGGAGCTGAAGCTGTAGAGAAATAGGAATGAGAAGTTAAATGTAGGAGTTGCTGCTTTGGGATGGTCGGGACAAACTCAGGCTCTCTCTTTATTCTGGTCTTAAAGTTTGCAGTTTATTTCGTAGGGCGTGGGTTTATATAAGGCCCTGCTGGGAACTGCAGCCACAACTCAGAACAGGGCAGAGAGAGGGATAGAGTGAGAGTAAGAGAAGAAGCTTAAGAAAGTAAGAACAAAGAGAGCAAGAGCATAAAAGAGAGATTTTCCCCTTTACAATCCATTAAATCTTCTTCTATGTTGAATATTCTAATTTCCACTAACCAATCTAATACAAGATACAAATTCTTTAACGTTTGCATGCAACCTATAGGAATCACTACATTACCATGTTTTACTGCCTTTCTTATCTCTAAATTTTATCTGGGACCCTTCCTGCCATGCCTAGGGAGGATGTCTGTTTGTTTTTTTGGTATTGGCAGCAATCTAACATTATCTAAACAAAGGGGCCTTCAGGCATTCAGTTGCTTTCAGCCACACAGTCAAAAATTGCTATCATTTCTATTTCACTTATATTTTCCATATTCTCAAAGTCTTTTGCTAGGCACTCATAAGGTTTCCCTAATTCATCTTTCCCAACAGTTAAAATGTCTCAAATGTGTCGTAGGTTAAATGGGTGTATTTTCACTGGGTGATGAGTTTGGGACTTGTTCTGCAGTGGAAATTTGTGAGATCTTTTCTTTGCTTGCAACATTGGCTCTCTTGTTTGCCTGTGAAAATCCTTTTGTTTGGTAAAAACATATTTTGTTTGAGGTGGATTTATCCTTTGCTCTCTTTCAACTCACTTTGCTCTTTGCTTTTTAGTTACTCAGCAAGACTGGCTCAGCAATTCTTTTCTTCTATATCAAAACCTGCTTTCATTCCTATAGAACCTTCTGTATATCTGCAAAACTCCTCTGTTAAATTCTCATCCTTCCCAACAGGTGACCCCTGTCAAATACGCCCGGCTCTGGTCTGAGATCCCCTCTGAGATCGCCATCGACGAGTGAGTGCAGCCCTGCCTCTGCTGGGGGGTTGGAACAATCCTCACACAGCAGCCCTGAGGTTGTTTGTACAAAAATCCAACACCCCACCTCGTGTTGCTGAGAATTAACTGGGGGTCGGTGTCTTTCTTCAGGCAGCACTGACAGAACGAGAGGGCACAGCCTTAAGTACCAAAGAAAAATAGGTTGGATGTTAGGGACAAGGTTTTTACAGAAAGGGTGATGCACTACTGGAATGGTCTGCCCGAGGAGGTGGTGGAGTCACCATCCCTGGGTGTGTTAAAACACTGGATGTGGCACTCACTGCCATGGTTTAGTTGATGTTTAAAAAAAAAAAAGACTGGATGTGGCACTGGGTGCCATGGTTTAGTTGAGGTGATTAAAAATAAGATTGGGTGTGGCACTGGGTGCCATGGTTTAGTTGAGGTGTTGGGATGGGTTGGGCTTGGTGATCCTGAAGGTCTCTTCCAGCCCAGTAGTTCTGGTTCTGTGAATAAGCTCCCTGTGTCTGGGTGATGTGACCTGGGCTGGGGAGAGAGGGTTCATCTCTTCTCCTGCCTCATTTGGTTGGAGGAGAACCTCAGAATTATTAAGCTTGGAAAAGCCCAAGTCCAGCATTCTCCACTGAGCCACGTCCCCAAGTGCCACATCCACACATCTTTGGAACATTCAGGGATGGAGTTTCCACCACTGCCCTGGGCCCCCTGCTCCAGGGCTTCACCACTGTTACACTGAAGACATTTTCACTAAAATCTCTCTAAACCTCCCCAGTTTGAGGCCGTTTCCTCTGGGTGTGGTCCCCTCTCGTTTGTCCTTATGGGAGCTCACCACCAGCAGCAGAAACAGTGGGGGAGTGGATGCTCAAACAAGGACACATTCCTGAGCTTCCAGTGGAAATCCTCTGGCACAAAGCTCAAAAACCTACACAGAACCACAGCTGGAGCAGGCACATGGCTCCTTGACCACTTGTATTAACTCTGTAATTAATAATTCCAAATTTATAGTACTCAGCTGTTCGTTTTGAGCTCCTTTTTTTCAGTTGGAGAAAATGAACACCTAAAATTGGTGTTATATGTTAGGAATTTAAGTCTTGTTGATGTTAATACTGGTATTTGGTGGTTTCTTGTATTTCCCTCCTTGCCAGCCTGATTTTCTCTGCTGAGAGATGCAGGAGATAAGAAATCAAATGTAAAAGCTGAGATTTAAAACTGAATGGCTTTAGCTCTGGCAGAAGCTCACCAGTGACAAGTGATCAAACAGGAAGCAAAAGTCTATTGTGGGAGGTGCTGGGATTGTCCTTCTCAAAGTCACTCTGCACATACTGAGAAAGAAACCCTAGAATTTAGATTAAAAATTAATACCTGCTTTGCATATATATTGGATTTATTTGGAGGAAAAATGCCATCCCCACTCAGCCTGTCTTGGCCACCCGTTCTGCTCAGTGCTGCACATCATTTGTCATTGTTTCCACTCAAATAATGAGGGTTGCCTTTTCTGTTTTTTTTTTTTTTTGGGACAAAATTATCTTTCTTTTGATTTCCTCAGATATTTTAAAATAGTACCTAATGAGCATATGGGATAATCCAACAAAAGCCAGGAAATTCTGGTGTCAGTGTCCTGTCTCCCTCGTTTGGATAAATTATTTACCAGCCTTTAGCTTTTCTTAGGTTTTGACAAACCAATGAAAAATTGTACTGGGGGGAAAAGAGCCCTGTGTGTTTGCATGCTAAGTTTTGTTTTGTTTTCTTTTATGTTTTATTCTTTTTTTCCCCTCTTCAGCTATGATAGCAGTGGAACTTCCAAAGATGAAATTAAGGAGAGATTTGCACAAACAATGGAATTTGTAGAGGAATATTTAAGAGATGTGGTGTGTCAGAGGTTCCCTTTCTCTGATAAAGAGAAAAATAAGCTCACTTTTGAGGTAGTTATCCAGTTCTGATTTTATCCTATTCTTTTTTTTTTTTGTTTTGTGGAATGTTGGTTATTTTTTCAGCACCAGGTAGTTTAGTAAATAATGAGTGTAATTAGTGAGTGCTGTGCCTCAGTTGGCTCCCTTCTCTTTGTGCAAGTAACCCCACTGAAATTTGTGAGTTTGCAGTGATGGTTCTTGAAATACAATTAATGACTGTGAGTTTATGTCTGAGGTTTGCAGCAGCCTTGTTTACTCTCCGTGCTCTCAGTGTTATTGCAAAGCCAGGCTTTACTGGAATAAATATCTCAAAAATTAAACACTGTCTGCATGCACACAGAGTCTCCAGGGCTTATAGTCATGTTCACCAAGAGGAAAAAGTGTCCTGTGACTTACTGACCTGTTAAAATAGTCTCTGCAAATAAAATGTGGCAAATCTGTGCAGCAAACAATCGTTAATTTAGGAAAAGCTGTGCTATTCTGTAAAAAATAACAGTTGATGTAATCTACTTCTGATAATGGGGCTACATTAAATATTTGTCCTGTATGTGATATTTTTATGTGGATCTTTATGGGGTGGACTTGTGGGGAAATTTTATAACTTGGAAGGTACAAAGCTCAGCTTTATGGCTGCAATACCTTTTTTTGTAAGACAATGATAAAAATTATCTGTACCTTACCTCTAGTCTTACCCTGTTTTATAATGAGACAAAGAGAGTCTGATTTTGTAGCTCTAGAATCTCAGTTGCAGATTCAGACATTAACTGCAAGCATTGCAGTATTTGTAGGCAAGTAGAAAACTTTCTGATGTGATGTAGAACCAGAGAATCTTGCAGAATTCCCAGATATTATCAAATATGACCCTCATCCAGGTTCTTGATCTTGTCACTGTGTTAAGACAACTTGACTGTGATAGCAAAATGTTTAGTATTAATCAGGCTTTTTATTGTTATTTTGGTAGGTTGTTAACTTAGCCAGAAATCTGATATATTTTGGTTTCTACAACTTCTGTGACCTCCTCAGACTAACCAAAATCCTCCTTGCTATATTAGACTGTGTGCACATCACTACCATCTTCCCTATTACCAAGATGGCAAAAGGCGAGGAAAGTAAAGGTAAGGCTGGAGAGTAGGACAGCGAGTTCCTGGGTGGCTCTGGTTCATCTCAGAACGGCACTGTGGGGTGCAATGATCAAACACAACATCCTGAGCTGGAAGGGACCCACCAGGATCATCCAGCCCAGCTCCTTCCCTGCACAGACACCCCAAAATCCCACCCTGGGCATCCCTGGAGCTGTGGCAGCCTCGGGGCTGTGCCCATTCCCTGGGGAGCCTGGGCAGTGCCCAGCACCCTCTGGGGGAAGAACCTTTCCCTAAAATCCAGCCTGGCACAGCTCCAGCCACTCGCTGGGTGCTGTCCCTGTCCCAGAGCAGAGCTGGGAGCTGCAGCCCCGGTGAGGTCTGACCTCAGGGTGCTCTGCCCCATCTGAACACACCAGGTGATCTCAGCTGCTCCTCATATCACTTCTCCTCTACTCCCTTCCCCATCTCTTTGGGTGCTCTCTAGCATCTTTAGATCTTGCATTTTGGCCCCCAGAACTGCCTCCAGGACTGGAGGTGAGGCTGCCCCAGTGCAGAGCAGAGCAGGACAATCCCCTCCCTCCCTGGCCAGCAATGCTGTGCTTGGAAATCTCCTTTCTGTCCGTGGCTTGGCTGTAAAGCTGAGTGGTGCCTGTGATGGGAGAGGGCAGGGGGCTTCTCCAAGTACTGCAGTGCTTCTGTTGGCTTCCCCTGTCCCCAGGGTGTGGATGTGTAATGTTGAGACAATTTCTCTTTGTAGGATGTGGCTGGTCCTTGCCCTGTTCGTGCAGTCCCATTAACCACGCTAACCCTCGCTCTTTCCTGTCTGAAGGGAGCAATGTGATGAGGTCAATCCACGGCGTGGGGGAGCTGATGACCCAGGTGGTGCTCAGGGGTGGGGGGTTCCTGCCCATGACTCCTCTGGCAGCTGCCCCCGAGGGGAATGTCAAGCAGAGTGAGCCAGAGAAGGAGGACATCCTGGTCATGGACACCAAGCTCAAGATCATCGAGATACTGCAGGTACCACATTGCTCCAGCTTCTGGTGCATTAATTGTGTCCTGCTGCCTCTTGGTGTGTTTCTGACTCTCCAGCTGGGCAAGTCTTGCAAGGGTGACTTTGTCAGGCACAGGGCTCTCAACTTGCTTATGACCATATCGTGCCACTACTGAAAGAATTTTTTACAAGAGAGTTTGCAGTAGACATTTGTGTTTTTAGCAGTGATTTGTGAGTATCTGACTTGAGGCAGAGCTGTTCTTTTCCACCCTATTGTCTTCTTAATTTCTCTGAGTCTGCAGGGCCATCTGAAGTGCCCTGAGGAATGGGGAGATCTCCAGACTCCCCTTGGCAGAGCCATCAGCCTGGCATGTATTTGCAGCATGCACAGCCAGCCTCTCTCTCTTCCATCTCTGCTTTTCTCGCTTGCTCACCCTTGTCTTTGGGACACACACGTTTTTTTATTATTGACTCAGAATTGCTGTGCTGAAACGCATGTAGGAGTCCTTTTTGTGCTCAGTAGCTCCATCAGTGAGGTCCTGGGGGTCAGAATGCTGCCAGAGCCCGGTGGGTGAAGGCAGGAGAGCAGCAGGAGAGCCGTGGTGTTCCTTCCCCATGCCCCACGGGAGGCTCTGCCCTTCCCTCAGCAGCAGATGCAGCACAGGGGAGGCTCCATTCCATCCTTGCACCATTGCTAATTTTGGCTGGAGCCAGAGCTTCTCTCGTGGCCTGGCATGTGCAGGGGAATATTTCAGTGTGCCAGGGTTCCCTGTTACCAGGGGCTCTTCAAACTGGCATTGAACATTTTCCCTGAAGGCTCCAAGAACTCGGAGTGTTCTTGGCTTTGGAGCTCCTTCCTCGAGAGGAAGACCATGGAGAAGATGCTCTCTGCTAGGCTGGAGGTTTCTCTGGCACCAGCTGGTGCAGCCCAGCTGAAGTGGTGACTTGTATGGCACAGGCTGGCTCCTGGCAGCTCCTGTGCTGCCCCTGTGTCCCAGCACCCCGGGAGAATTGCAGCACGTGTTGGGGATGGAGATGGAAATGCTGCTTTCCTTTCCTGGGGGACAGGGGGAGGATGCCAGCATCACACAGGAATGAGGCACCAAAACTCTGCCAAAAGTGTTTTACTCATCAGTATTTATTGTGTGTGTAGCGTGCTCGCTGAAATCTCTGGAAAATATTACTGAATTCTGAGGGTTTTTAAGGCAATATTTGCATATCTTAGAAAGATGGAATCCCAGAATGGTTTGGGTTGAAAAGGACCTTGAAGTTCATCCAGTTCCACTCTCTGCCATGGCAGGGACACCTTCCACTATCCCAGGCTGCTCCAAGCTCTGTCCAGGCTGGCCTGGGACACTTCCATGGATCCAGGGGCACCCACAGCTTCTCTGGACACCCTGTGCCAGGGCCTCACCACCCTGGGTAACTTTTCCAGGATAAAACCACACCTCTGCTCAGTTGATGTTGCACGTTGGTAGCTCTGCTTTGTGTGTGAGTTAGAAATGCACAGATAATTTCAACGTTTTTCCTCCTTCTGTATCATCAGTTTATTCTGAATGTGCGGTTGGACTACAGGATCTCCTGCCTGCTTTGTATATTTAAACATGAATTTGATGAAAGCAATGCCCAGATGTCTGAATCCCCCACTGGAAGCAGTAGCCAAGAAATGCCAGCTAATGTACCAGGTGGGTTTTTTGGCAAGGAATGAGGTGGTGTGGCTTAGGGAAGACTCTGGAATCTTCAGGATGCTAATGTGTGATTGTTTCAGGTCTCCACTTGCCATTTGAAATGTTTTTAAGCTGGAGAAACATCTCTGCTGCCACTCTGACCTCATGTATTTGTGTGGTTTATGTTTTCAGGAGCCCTGGACTTTGAACACATTGAAGAACAAGCTGAGGGCATCTTTGGTGGGAGGAAAGTATCTCTTCACAGGTGCTAATCGAGGGGGAGTCCCCAGGCTGGGGGGCTCCCAAGGAGTGGGGACTGGGACAATGGCTGCCACAGCTCCCCAGGCTTCATTTCCCTAAAATGGCTTTGGTGCAGCTCAGAGCGGGGTCCATTTGGATCAAAAACCAGAAATAAGGAGCAGGGGTTCTTCAGCCAGAAGCATCATCAGGGCAGGGCTCTGTGGTGTGGGTGAAAGCCAAGGTGCAGGATTAGTGCATCTCAGCTCGATGCTGCAATAAAATCTCAGTACAATTGCCCCCCTTAATTAAGAGTAAGAAAAAAAAGGTTTTCTGCCACTGCTAAGAGGGCTTAGAACCTGCTGGGACCCTCAGTCTAATGTGCTGCTTAACTCCTGCTGTGTTTCCAGTGAGGAGAACACCCCTCTGGATTTGGATGATCACGGGGGCAGGACTTTCCTCCGGGTGCTGCTGCATTTAACAATGCATGATTACCCTCCCCTGGTGTCTGGTGCACTGCAGCTGCTCTTCAGGCACTTCAGCCAGAGACAAGAAGTCCTTCAGGCTTTCAAGCAGGTACCTGTGTGTTTGGAGAGAGTTGTTCCTCATCTGGATGTATTTATGGCAGCTGAACCCAGCCCTTTTTGTGCAATTAATGGCTTTGCCTCCCTGTAAGGTTCAACTGCTCGTTACCAGCCAAGATGTTGACAACTACAAGCAGATCAAACAAGATTTGGACCAGCTAAGGTCAATAGTGGAGAAATCTGAGCTCTGGGTGTACAAAGGCCAAGGTCCTGATGAGGCCATGGACAGTGTGCCAGGTGAAAACGAGCACAAGAAGAAAGAGGTAATTAGGTCGTGTTTGTGGGAATTTGGGTGGGTATTTGGGCGGGTGTAGCTGCTTTCAGAACTGTGACAAGGCCCATCTTCCCAGCACACTGCCTAGGTGAGGTTCTCTCTACTGCTTTCAGCTTGAGGCAGGAGTGAGAGGGGAACTTGAGCCAGGTGATGCCCAGTAGCAGCCACTGAGGTGTCACCTTTAGGCTCTAACAGGGCTGGTTTGGGTTTGCTCTGGCTCCCCAGCTGGGTCCTTTCAGCACTGAACGATGGCACGGGATTTGTGCAGTCCAAAGTACCTCCAGTAAGGTAAGGGCAGAGCTGTGAGCTGCTCAGGTGATGCATTTGGAGTCATTAAATGACAGCAGACAACTGTGCTTTATGTCTACCTGATAACACAAGATTTCCCCACTGTACTCATCTGGCTTAGAACTCTTTGAACATCTTTTGCTTCCATGTAATTTGCAATCAAATAGGAGAGATTGGATGAGGGGATCCAAGAAGCAGTCCCCGGTTTAGGAACATTTATTGCTGGAAGTAAAAGCAAGTAATCCACTTGTTGCTTTTCTTGTACACTTTGCTGTGAGGAATCTCTTGGTATTTGTGCAGTGACAGTTTAATAACAATAGAGAGGGAGAGAGAGGAAGGGGTTTTTTTTCTGAGGGGAGACTTGATTAGAGACAGAATGCGACAGGCAAAGGACAGGAGGTTGCTGCTTCTGAAATCATCCCTCCCTCACCTTATTTTGTGTCCTAGAGGTCAATGTGACTTGACAGGATAATTGTGTGTGTTTCTCTGAGGCTGTCAGAGAGCTGGAGGATGACAGTCCTTCCCAGGAGGAGAACGGGCTCTATCCTAGAACGGTAATTTTAGCCTTCATGTAGACAGTAGTATAAGCTACTAATAAATTGTCTGATTTTATCCTCAGGAAGGTCACAGCAAGTCTCAAAAGCCTGAAAGTACTAGCAGCTACAACTACCGGGTAGTAAAAGAGGTAAAACTTTGCTTCTTGATAGTTCACTGGAAGTGTAAATGAGTAACAGAGCTCTGGAGAGCTGCAGTCAGAGGGAGGCACCCAGGAAAGTCTGAGTCACTCTGCCATTGTGGAAACTATTTGCTGAGTAATAACAAATCCCAACTTGAATGAGAAGCCAGGATAGAATAAGCACGACGTGTGTATTCTTTCCTTAAGAATGGATTAGTGAGAAGCGACGTTCGCTGCTGTTTCAATGGTAACACAATATTTTTATTGTTAAGGACTGCAAAGGCAGTAAGCAAGGGGAGAAGCCATTTAATTTGCCCTGTCCTGAGTACCTTGCACTCAAAGCCACTGTGCTGTTGAAATTTAATGTAGAAAATACCAGCTCAAGAACGTGCTGTGGTGCTGGTGTGGTGTGAGCTGAAGGTGTGTCTGTGGTATTGGGTTCACTCGACATGGCTGAGTTGTGCAGGAGCATAGAATCTCAGAACTGTAGAGTGTCCTGAGGTGGAAGGGACCCACAAGGATCAAGGAGTCCAGCAGCCCTAGTCAGATGCCACGGATGGAGCCTGGGCCACGAGGGGCTGCCTGGAGCCGCCCTGCTCCGTGCAGATGAGTTGGTCCCTGTTGGTGCTCTCTGGGACCTGGCGTTCTCTGGAAGAAAAGCCAGAGTTGGGGCTCTAAGGCCAGTGTCTCCTGCAGATCCTGCTGCGGCTCAGCAAGCTCTGCGTGCAGGAAGGGGCCTCGGTGAGGAAGAGCAGAAAGCAGCAGCAGCGACTCCTGAGGAACATGGGAGCTCACGCCGTGGTGCTGGAGCTGCTGCAGATCCCTTACGAGAAGGTGGGGCTTTGTGTGGTGCTGACAGCCTTTTCATACCTCCTCTGAATCTTCCTGAGCCTCCTCCCTGTAGACTGGATGCACAGAGGCTGGTTTGTGTAGCCCCATAGTCTATAAAATAGCCGTGTTCAGAAATAACGAGCTTTTTTTAATTATTTTTAATTATTTTAATTATTGAATATACACATATGTACTATTGCCTGAAGAAACACCATGCATCATACTTCAGAATTAAGGCTCAACTCTGAGCTTTTCGTGTGAGGCAGGTGTTGCCTTGAGGTTAAGCTGTGTTGATGAGAGCAAGCCCCTCATTGTGAGGCTGCTGTGTGAGCATCATCCCGGGAGCAGGGAGGGAAGGGAGGGTGCCTGGTCCCCCAGGGGTTTTATGAGCAGCAGATACAGACCCTCCCCCAGCTGTAGAGTCCTGAACTCCCCCTTAGAGGTGAATAAATACCCACTGGCTCTCCAGGTGAGGTGTGTGCTCCCAGTTAGCCATGTCAGGGCTAACACTTGCCAGATGTGCAGGTTGGAGCCTGGGTTGTGCCTGTGAGCCTGCAGAGAACCAGGCTGTGCTGACACAGCACACCCCAAGGTCCTCACATTGGCTGCTCATTAATCACAGGTGACAGGTATTTATCAGTACATTTTTCCTGGTCACTCTGCTGTCCTTTGTTCCAAACTCATCAAGTTTCTGAGAACCAGTAATTCTGCACAGGAGCTGTGATTAATGTTAATTCTCGCGGTTTCTTGCATCATATTTTGCTAAGAAATCGGCAGCAAAAACACCCTTCAACACCTTTCTGTCCCCTTCATGTGAATGTGCATTGGACAGGCAGTGTGGAAAGGGGTTTCACCCTTGGAAATACATGAAATTCCTTACAAATAAACACAGGCAGTCATTTTTCCAAAGCGCGGCTTCTGCCATCAGTGGGCTGGGAATCCACGCTGACATCAGAGGAAGGGCACTGGTTCCTCAGTGGTGCTTGGAAGGCTGCAAGGAGTGTGGAGGTTCCAGTAAAGATAAATTGGGCTGAGCTGGTGCAATAGCAACTTTCCATCCCTGCTTTGCCCCGAGCTCCCCGTCCGTGGCTGCAGTGGAACGTGGCAGCTCTCCTGGGCAGCCCCGAGGTGATGATGTGTGGTTTGGCCAAGGGGCTGGGATGTTCAGCAGTGCAGAAGTGACTAAAGCACGTTGCTGGCAGGCCTGGCTGTGGAATAGGCACTTTTAGAGAATGAACTACTGTAATTTCTATTATGGGCTTGATTTTTGACGCTCTCTGGAAGCGTGGAGCTGGCCCAGCTCATCCCAAATGTCTGTGAACTGGGTGGAGGTTTGTTTTCCTTCGGGGTGTGAGAGACGTGACAGTTCCCTTGCTGGAGCTGTGGCTCATCTTGTGCTCACCTCAAGGTGAACCTTTGGATTCTTTTTAACCCCCTCTTCTTTGTCATGCAATCCCAGGCTGAAGACACGAGGATGCAGGAGATAATGAAGCTTGCACACGAGTTCCTGCAGAACTTCTGTGCTGGGAACCAACAGAACCAGGCCTTGCTGCACAAGCACATAAACCTGTTCCTTAACCCAGGGGTAAGAATAACCTCAGGCTGTGATTTATTTTTTTGTTCTAGCAAGAGAAGGGACTGGATTGTCCTTGGTAATAGGTCTGGGGCTGTTCTGTTGCAAGATTGGTTGAAGAGGTCACATTTTGTTTCCATTCTAAAGTCTCAAAAGTTGGCAAGATGTTTGTTTAGGGCAGTTTCGGTGTAGAAAGTTCAAGAGGCTGAAGTGGAGTGAAAAATAGGCTGAGATAGGAGCAGTGGTGTTGAAAGCTGAGCTCCTGAGCAGAGTTCCCTTCAGCCCTGCGCCTGCAGCAGTGCTGGCTTTACCCTAACCTCAGCGGGGATGTGGTGGGTTGTTGATGTTCTGATTTTTTTTTTTTTTTTTGCTCCCTTTCATCCCCTCCATCAGATCCTGGAAGCAGTGACAATGCAGCACATTTTCATGAACAACTTCCAGCTCTGCAGCGAGATCAACGAGCGCGTGGTTCAGCACTTCGTCCACTGCATCGAGACTCACGGCAGGAACGTTCAGTACATCAAGTTCCTGCAGACCATCGTCAAGGCAGAGGGGAAATTCATTAAGAAATGCCAAGATATGGTAATGGCTGAGGTGAGAGCTGCAGAGATTTGCAGGGTCTGAACAGAAGTTTGCACATAGCAGTTGGTGAACATGACAAATTGATCCTCTCGCTTCGGGGACTGCCAAGAAGCTGACAGCTCTCACCGTGCAAAAAGAGCATTGCAGCTCCCAGGCAGCTCAGGCTTTTTGTGACCAAAAGCTCTCTGAGTTCTCTTGACTCACAGGTGTAACAAGGGGTTGGCTATTAATGGCAGGAGTTACTTCCCAGGCCTCTACACGGCAGCATGTAGGTGGGATTATGAAGCAAGTGTGCCTTTGCCTAGGAAAATTGGCTTGGAGGAAAGTAGTTTAATTTCAAGATCACTGCAACAGAAGGAGAATTTCACCACGATAGCGTTTTGATGGGAATTTTTTATGAGATCCTAGAACCACCATGGAATCACCTTCCACTATCCCAGGGTGCTCCAAGCCCCATCCAACCTGGCCTTGGGAACTTCAGGGATCCAGGGGCAGCCTCAGCTGCTCTGGGAAACTGTGCCAGGTCCTCACCACCCATATTTTTCCTGCTGTCTGAACCCACTCTCAATTGGAAGCCATCCCCTTTGTGCTGTCTGTCCAAGCCCTTGCAGATACTCTTAGCAAGATGTGCTTAATCATCTGTTCAAAGGCTGAAGGGGGAGACATGAGGATTGGCTTTAGGTGTGTGGGGAACTGGAAACTGGGGCATCAGGATAAAAGGGCGAGGTAAGAGAAGGGTGAATGAATGCCTTTAAGTGGGATACTGGATGGGATCTGTTTGGCAGATCTGCACATCTGATGGAATGTTTTGGCCTCCTCAGCAGGGGGAGCCCCAGGATCAGATTTGTCATATCTGGCTTTTCAGCATCAATCCTGATAGGTGGATCAAAAATCGTTCATATTTTCATATCAAAACCAACTCCATGAGCTTCTCAACACTTAGTTGAGTGTGAGATGCTCAGCATGGAGATTCCCCGGGGTCAGCAGCTGCCCTGGGGGTTTTCCTCTACATTTTATCCTGCTGGTTTTCCCAAACCCTGTGGGAGGACAGCCCTGGATCCCTCCAGCTGTGTGTTCTGCAGTGGCCAGCCTGGAGCAGGGCTCAGTTTGCTCCATCTCCTTCCCTTCCTGGAACTCCAGGAGGTCGGAGCTGCTCTGAAATCGTGGCCAGCCAGGTGTCAAATGTGAAGCTGATGGAAATCTTCAGCGTGTGATTTAAGGTGTCACTCCCTGGCCTTGGAAAAGGGCTGGTGTGTGTTGGGAAGGGTGGAAGGAGTGAGCCCTGCAGTCCTCCCATCCCCTGTGCCCTGGGCAGCTCTCCAGCAGCACAGAGCTGGCCACAGCTGCCTTGGAGTCACCCCGGGTGACAGACGGGAAATGGAAAGGCACAATGGAAAGTCACAAACTTCTTGGCACAGCTTCTGGCTAAGCAGGCAGCTGGACTGGCTTTGGATTTCTTCAGTGCTCCAGAAGTGGGCATTTAAATGGGAAATGTGCCCTGGAGCCCTGTGTCCCTGGGGACGTGCAGTGGGGACAGCCCTGATGAAGGGGGTGCTGGGGGGCATCCCAGGCTTTGCTGTGCTGATGGAATGTTCTCCTTGCCCCTCATGCAGCTGGTGAATGCAGGGGAAGATGTGCTGGTGTTCTACAATGACAGAGCCTCCTTCCAGACCCTGGTGCAGATGATGAGGTCGGAGAGGGACCGCATGGATGAGAACAGCCCCCTGATGTACCACATCCACCTGGTGGAGCTGCTGGCCGTGTGCACAGAGGGCAAAAACGTCTACACAGAAATCAAATGCAACTCCCTCCTCCCTCTGGATGACATTGTCAGGGTGGTGACCCACGAGGATTGCATACCCGAGGTGAGGGCTGACAGGAGAGCTGGGCAGTTTGTGTTTGAAATGTGCTGGGTTTGGTGACAGAGGGTTGACACTGCTGAGTCTGGCCTGGCAAGGGGGTGGGTACAGGTGGGCAGCGAGCTGGGAACCTAAAATCCTTCCCTGCTGCTGCTGTTGACACCCCCAGCCAACCTGGATAGTCAACTTAAATCCTCCTTTTATACTTCCTCCTTACCCTGAAAGTGGGAATGTGATGCTGTACTTGGTTGTTTTATAGGGTTCTTGAGGCAGAGAGGTTTATGGATGTGCTGCTAACCTTGAACAGATGGTTCTGCAGAACTGGAAATTATTATTATGCTGACGTTTTGTCTGCAGTAATCCTGGTGGTTTTTTATTGGATGGTGTCTTGCTATTCATGGCATTAAATTTCACCAGTGTTTAAGTAAAAGGAAGAAGTAGAATTCCAAATGATCTATGTAGCAGTTTTAATGTGCCGTTATATTCATTCATGCCACCATTCAGGTTTTTATTTCTTTATGAAGTATTTTCTCTACTTTTAGGTCAAAATAGCATACATCAACTTCTTGAATCACTGCTATGTGGACACAGAAGTAGAAATGAAAGAGATTTACACCAGTAATCACATGTGGAAGCTGTTTGAGAACTTCCTGGTTGACATCTGTCGGGTAATGTATCTGCACCAAGGAACTGAATTCACAAAGCTTAAAAACCTCTTTAATCCAGAGCAGTCAGGATAAGACATCCCAGTGCATCAAGGCAATAAGTACCCTGAATACTCTGTTCCTGCAAATATGTGCCTCCTTCTCCTTGTGCCTGTGGATTTCATTAGTCATATTCCATGGAACACATTCATATTTTCCTTTTTAAAAGAAAAAAAAATCCAAGCCCAAACCAAAGCTCAGTGAAGCTCCACACCCTGCTCCTTTGTCCAGTGCCTTTTCTGTCCTGCCACCTGGCCTGCTTATTCTGGCCAGGATTGCTGAGCTCCTTCCTGAGCAGCACTCAGCGTTTTTTGGCAGGTCAGGACAGCTTGTTTTCCAGGCTTGGTGTTTATTTGGCCATATGGCTTTTTGCCTGGGATTCCAAGTATTTCCCCATACGAAAGCATTACACCTCAGTCCTCCCCATCCTGCTCTTGCTTCCCTCCAAGGCACTGTGGTTTTTTTTTTTCCCTCCCCCCAGCCCTGCTCTGTCAAACCAGGAGCAGCTCTGGCTTTGCTCTGGCGTGGGCTGGAAATGCAGAGCCCCAGTGGTGTCACTGAACTGCTGGGACCAGGACAATGTGAAACGGGGCAATTCCAGTCTCAGCTGCCTTGCTGAGCTGCTCTGGTTTGTGCTGCAGGCCTGCAACAACACCAGTGACAGGAAGCACGCAGACTCCATCCTGGAGAAGTACGTGACCGAGATCGTCATGAGCATCGTCACCACCTTCTTCAGCTCCCCCTTCTCTGACCAGAGCACCACCCTGCAGGTGGGGAAACACTCAGACACACACAGGGAGAGCCCTGCCAAGGCTCCCGTGTCCATTCCACTTCAGTGCCATTTACCAGTGCTAAAGAAACACAGGGCAGCAGTGGTGGTGTAATTGGGGAGCAAATATGTCACTGTGCTTGGTGGCCAGATGGGGGAAAAATACGTAGGTCACACTACAAATGTTCTTCTAGAAAAGCTCAAGTGTCACATTAATTCATCAGTGCATTCAACTCTGTGCTACCACCAAGGTCTTTGGTAGAGAGTTGTTGTGTGTCATTGAATCCCAGAATGGTTTGGAAATGTTGGAAGGGACCTTAAAGCACATCTCATCCAACTCCTTGCCATAGATATCACAGAGGGAGCAAGGGTGGGTGATTTAGGACAGCATATTTTACAAAAAATCCTAATTTCCCTTTGAAAAACAAAAAAGGATTCAGAACAAAAAACCAGAAGCTCTTGCTGTATCTCACTGAGTAGATTTTTGCCTAGTCCAAAAGTTGGGGAGATGTGAAGGAGGAGCTTGGCACACTTGTGAAGGGCAGAAGGCAGAGATTTGTACAGCAGAGCAGCAGTGTCAGGATGTTGCCCTAATATTTCTATTTGCACAGAGATAACAATGTTGTTTTTTTTAATCCATAAATAACTTTCTGGGAGGGTGTGGGTGGAGTGGTCAGGTGTCTGGCAGCTCTGGCAGGAGGTTGAGAGGGGCAGTTGTTGAAACTTGATGCAACCTGGTAGTGCCAAAGGCAGATGTTTGCAGTGCAATCTCCAGGTCTCAAGGCTCATCCAGTCCTGCCCCTGCCAGGTCTGTGCCCTCAGCTGAGTCTGAGCAGTGCAGCAGCTGCTTTACCTCTCAGGTGGCTTCAGTTGCTGTTGCCCATCAAAGAAGTGAGAAATGGAGACTGTGGCCTTGTCCCCGGGCTCTGCCCTTCCCTCTGTGCATGTACCTGAGCTGCCCTGCTCTCACTTGTGATCTCTGAGATGCAGAATTTGAATACACATCTTGCCATGCTATTTTAGCCATCTGTTAATGTTATATCAGCAGTTTTTCTTTAGTTTCTCAATCTCCCCCTCTGTCTAGCAGGATGAAGTCACTTGGTTCACCTCTTTTCCCATCTCAGTTGATAGATCTGCCTTGTCCTAGATTCATCTTTCCTCTACATCTCCAAGTTAAAAGCAGTTTCTCTCCCTTTTCCTGCCTGTCAATACTCTTGTCTATACCCAGAGATTCTCCCTCTCAGGAGCACAGTCTGTTGTCCCACCTGCCAGGTGTCCATCCCTGCTCCAGGTGGGATTTCCTCCCCCTGAGGTGCTGCAGGTGAGCTGATCTCTGTAGCCAAGGGATGTGGCCACTCTGCTCTGGGTTCAGTCCCTCCCTGCCCTTCCTGCTGCACCTTCTCATCCCTTCCAGCCTTCTCTTGCCTCCTGCTCCTTCATGTCAGGGCTTGTTTGGCTGAAATTCTTCCTGCCCTGAGTCAGCCTTGCTGGTTCAGGGAACACCTTGTCCATCCATCATGTGGTTCAAATCATAGAAAATGAGGAGAACACAAATCTCCTGGCACAGGACAGCTGCCCACAGCTTCTCTTTAACAAACATTGTTCAGCCTATTTGCCTCCCAAGGCTGCTGCTGCCCCAGGTTTCCCTTCCCAAATGCAGTTGGAGACATGAGGGACATGGGGTAAATTTCCTATTTGATTTATTGACCTTATTTAAGCAAATGAGACGTCTTAAAGGCTTTTTAAGGCCAAAAAGTCTTGAACTGAAAGGAATATGTGGGTGGTTTAAATCCAAACATACAGGTTATTTCCAGGGCCCTGGGTGAATGCTGCTGTTTGCCATGGTTTTTGGTGTGTGGCTTATTTCCAGAAAGGATAATGGATATTTGCCTCTTAGCAATTTTGGGGGCTTGAATTTTGGTTCTCCTCTTGTACATTGTGTAATGGTGTTGGATTTAATTTATCTAATAGATTTAATTAGCTAATAGATTTGGCTTTTTACTCTAACTCCGCTTTTTTTTTGCAAACAGGCTTTACTGTTGGCCAGAATAAATGAGGTATTTTTTTCCCTGGCTCCTCAGTCCTGTGGTGTTTGCACTGTGGTGTAGTTCCTTTAGCTGATAGAAGCATTCCATAGCTAGTGGGCACAGGGTATTCCCTCTCAGATGGAAATATTTAAAATGCTCTTTTCTCTACAGGTAAAATGTTTTCTACTAAGTAATCACTGTACAAAACCAAATGGAGTTTTGGTCACTGTTGTTGGGCAGCTGCAAAGGTGAAAGAGCAGAGCTCGTGGGCTGGGGTGTGTTGGAGCAGCTCACCTGTCTGTAGTGGAAGATCACCTTGTGAAATTCGGGGGTGAAAACCACACCTTGATTTTGGCTGATCCATAGCAGCTGCAGCGTTTGCCACTAACCACTGCCTGTGTTCCACATGACACACAGCTGGTTTCTTTGTCAATTGGATACCAGCTAATAATGCTTGGAATGAGGAGTTTCCAACTCTGGAGCTGTGCTGTCACACAGCCAAGTCCCATTTACCTGTGGCCTCTTGAGTCAGCTGCTGGTCAACACTAAAAGAGGAATCTGTGTGCCAGGGTTGCTGATAGCTCTGATAAAACAGATGAAGGTGACTGCTCATTTCCTTTGCTTAGTCAGGCCTCAATTACCAGGGCTTTCTGCTGCAGAAGCTCCTGTTTCATGTTTCCCTTCCAGCCTTGGTTCCCACCCTTCCCATCCAGTTGCCGATCCCGTGCTAGATACCCTGCTGCCACAGGAGTTGCCCAACGAGTGGTGCAGAGCAGTTAGGAGGGCCTGGAGAGTGCCAGCTGAGCTGGGCTGAGCTGAGCCCAGCTCAGGGCGAGGCTGTGACCGTGCTGTGCTTGCTTTGCAGACACGGCAGCCCGTGTTCGTGCAGCTGCTGCAGGGCGTGTTCAGGGTGTACCACTGCACCTGGCTCCTGCCCAGCCAGAAGGCCTCTGTGGAGAGCTGCATCCGGGTGCTCTCTGATGTAGGTAAGGACTGGGGGTGAGCAGAGCTGCCTGCTGGGACGTGGCCAGCAGGGCTTGCTGCTGGTGTGCCATCCTGGCCCAGGGACAGTGCTGTTCCTGTCCTGCAGGTGCCACCTGGGCTAACTCCTGGTCCAGCCTTATGCTGGTAGGTCATCAGTGGGTGTTGGCACTGTCACCTGAAGTGCTTTCTCTGTCTAACCTCAAAAGTCCCTGCAGCAGGGAGATGTTTTCATGCAGTCACTGAGGATGGAAAAGCCCTCCAGGATCATCGAGTCCCAGCTGTGCCCCATCCCCACCTTGTTCCACGTCCAGGAATTCCTTGGACAACCCAGAGATGGGGATCCAAACCTCCCTGGGCAGTTCCAAAGCCTGACCACTCTTTCCATGAAGGAATTCTTCCTGATGTCCAGCCTGACCCTCCCCTGGTGCATCTGGGAGTGCCCATAAATTTGCCATTGTCCACAAGAGCAGCTTGTACTGGGTATGAGGTCAGGTTCTGCTGCTGTGTGTCCACGTGTTCCAGAACGAGTTTTTGGGGGTGTGTGTTTAGGGACAGATTCCTACTCCCACACTTGAAACAACAGTAACAGCTCTGAGGTGTGGAAGCCTCTAAACAATCCTGCACAGAGATTGAGAACTGCCCTGTTTAAAATGCACCCAAAGAGCCATGGAATGGTTAAGGTTGGAAAAGATCCCTTCCAAAAGGTTGTGAGGTCCGGGTGCCAGCCCAGCACCACCACTGTGGTCCCCAGTAAAACATGAACTCAAGTGCCACGTACAGATATTTTTTGACCACCTCCCTGGGCAGCCCTTTCTAATGCTTTGCAACCCTTTCTGTGAAAATAAAATTTCAGATGTCCTAATTTCCTAATGTCTAATCTAAACCTTCCCTGGTGCATCTTGAGGCTGTTTCCTCTTAGCCTGGGAAGGAGAGTTTGTAGAAGGAAGGAATTGCACAGACCTTTGTCCTGGTTTTGTGTTGGTTCATGGGCTCAGGCTCTCAGTCCCCACTGATTTTTGCCTGTTGCAGCCAAAAGCCGAGCTATTGCAATTCCTGTGGACTTGGACAGTCAGGTGAACAACCTGTTCCTGAAATCCCACAACCTGGTGCAGAAAACTGCCATGAACTGGAGGATGAGCGCCAGGAACGCCGCCCGCAGGGACTCGGTGCTGGCTGCCTCCAGGGACTACAGGAACATCATCGAGAGGTTACAGGTGAGTGCTCAGCTCCCCTTCCTCCTGCAGGGCCACAGCACAACTGAAAATCTCACCTGACCATACCCTGAGATCTTTTTAATTTATCCACACAGGACAGACCTAATTGTCCTGTCCCCTTCCTCCTGCAGGGCCACAGCATCACTGAAAATCTCACCTGACCAAACCCTGAGATGTTTTAATTTATTCATACAGGACAGACCTTAGTAAAATCGTTAGTAAAATTAATTCACCCATAAATGTGTGTCAATGTTTGTTTCAAGCTGGCTGTGGTTGTTTCCTAGGACATAGTGTCAGCCTTGGAGGATCGCCTGCGCCCTCTGGTCCAGGCAGAGCTCTCAGTGCTGGTGGATGTGCTCCACAGGCCTGAGCTGCTCTTCCCAGAGAACACAGATGCCAGGAGGAAATGTGAAAGTGGAGGTTTCATTTGCAAGTAAGTTGTCTCAAAAGTCTGGCTTTTTTGGCTTTTTTTCCCCCAATATTCCTGTGCCTTGTGGAATAAAACCCTCTTGCCCAGCTTGGTAAATACTTGATATTCTCTGAAATACCTGTAAAAATCAGTATTTTGTGATATGGTCAAGGCAATTTCTTCTTGGAGAAGAGAAAAACTGCCTGTGGGAATGGGGAAGGACTGGTTGATATGTTCTCCCAGCTAATGCTTAAAAATTTCTGTTTGCTGCAGGATGCAAATATCATGAGCAGTTGTAGAAATGAGTTAAATTTGGAGCTGGTCCAGTTACTGATACCTGCCTTCACCCCAGCAATGTTTGTGAGGTGCTGGGTGAAGACATCAGGATCAGTTGTTGTCATGGGCATCAGCACAGCTAGAGGGAAGGAAAGGGGAGGATGGCAAGGTCATTTAGAGGGCAATTCAGAGCAGATCCTGCTTCTCCTGTCACCTCCTGGAGGAGTGGGCTCTGAACAGAGGCTATGGAAGCTGGGCACTGAGTTAATCCCAAGTGCTGAGTGGGATGGATTTGGGATTGCAGCCTCCAGAGCTCTCAGTCTGTTTTTTAACCAAGTGGAATAGATTTCTTCCTGTTAACTGGGTTGTTCTGGAGGTCCTGGATCCCAATGATTCCTTGCTGCCTGCAGCCAGAGGGATTTTTTGGCTCTTTTCCTGCCCAGGTTCCTCCACAGCTTTCCCTGGTAGCTGTCAAGTGTTGCTCTGGAGAAAACACTCCAAACTGGTTGTGTAACAGGATGATGATAAACCTTATGTTTGCAGCATAAACCAGTTAAGATAAGCACATATATCTCACCTCATTTTTAGAGTAGTTGCACTAACCTGATTGATGGCTTTTTTTCAGGTTAATTAAGCACACAAAGCAGCTGCTGGAGGAGAATGAGGAGAAACTGTGTATTAAGGTATTACAGACGCTCAGGGAAATGATGACCAAAGATAGAGGCTATGGAGAAAAGGTAAGGTACAGTCCATCATTCTCTTAAACACTGCATTTATTCAGTAAGGGAAAACAAAACTCCTTTTCCAAGCTGTTTTGTGTGTGTAAGCACTTCTAGACTGGAGCAGGGACAAAACATTTTTAGTCAACTAATACCTTTCAAATCATATTAGAAGTTAAGCTTGTTTCTGTTGCTTTTCTACTTGAGACTGGCAAGTTTAAGTCTAATCCCTGCAGTTGCAGGCACTCTAAAATACCAATTTTGTTACCTTTTTCTGAAGGCTGTAACCTCTTTATCTGCTTCCTGGGTATAGGTGACTCTTCAGGTCATGTAACCTTGCAACAAGAGGGTGTTTTGTAGTTAATTTGAATTTGTGTACAACTGAGTAATCTTGTTGTGATTTATAGATGGAAACTCTCTGTACACCCACCCATGTTTCTTCTTTCCCTTTCCTACACACAACTCTTGACTGGTTGAGAGGAACATTTTTCTGTAGGTACAGAGACCTACTCTTTATTTCCAGCAGGAGAGTGTGCATGCACCCATATGTTTGTGTTTCTAGAAGTGGTTACAGTCAGCTGAGGCTGGGATTTGGAGATTCTCCTGGAATTCTGATCAGCTGAGGTTCTTCCCGTGGCACCCAGTGGGTTCAGAGGAGCACACCCTGCAGTGGAAGTGTTAGGAGCAGCTGGGACTGGGGGAAGCAGTGATGTGGAAGAGCTCTCACTGCCCCTGACAGGCTGTGCCCAGGAGCAGATGGTGCCTCAGCCCAGTTCTTCCCCCACTGGTGGGTTTGGAGCTGTTGCCTTGTGCTCAATTCACAGCAAAAAGGGCAAAAAACTTCAGAGATCAGAGTTTCATAACAGCAGGAATCGTTTGTGGCAGCTGCCAGGGAGGGAGAAGCTCCACAGGCAGAGGAACCTGGAGCATCCTGGCCAGCTGGGAATGTCAGCAGGAGCAGGACGTGGTGCCAGGGCTCTGGGCAGGGAGCAGAGCAGCCTGGCACACATGGGTGTGCACGTGTGGGCTGCTCCCAGCACAGGCAGCAGGAGACTCCCAGGAAAATGCCCCAAGGGTAGGGATGGCCAGGGCTGTGCTCCCTGCCCTGCCAGGGAGGCTCTTCCCACGTGCTGCCAGGTGCCAGCCCAGCTGCAGCTGCTGCTCTGCTGCCTGGGCACTGCCTCACTGTGCAGCAGCAATGGTTCTGGGGCAATTCCCTCAGCTGCAGGAAAGCAGCACATCCCTGTGGGATTGATAGGGAAGGGCACAGCTGCAGGTGCCAGCTTGGAGCACATTGTCCTTCTCTGCCCATGTGGCCAAATTCTGTGCTGGGACATCACCTTCTGTCCCCTCCTCGAGGTCCCTGCTCTGAGACATCCCAGCTGGCAGGGGCTGGCTTGGCCTGCAGAAGTCAATCCCTGCTCCTGGGAAAGGAGTGGCACTGGTGATCCTCTAATGAGTGCTGCTATCTCCTGATGATCAGCACTGGGGGTGAAACACGTTCAGGGTACCCAGAGATCACATTTTACACTTCTCCAGCAGATCAGTGTATCCTCTCCTGTTAAAACAGCCAGGAGCCACTGTCCCAGGTCACCCTGAGTAATAAAAGCAGTGTGTGATGCACATTGGATATACTGTACACCAGTGAAACCCCAGTCAGAGCTTTGAGAGTTTTCCTTATGTGTAATCTGCCACTGAGAGATTTTCCAAAGTGGAAATGAATTTCTAGGAGTTTCTTAGACTTTATTCTGCTCACTTGGATGAAGCAGTATTTCTGGAAGCTGCAGTTAACATATCTTGCACCATTCAGACCACGGAGAACCCCACAAGATGCTAAAAAATCTTCCAAGTGTGGCAAAAGCATTAATTTCTGAAGCAGTGGCTCAGTTACATAAGGAGTCAGGATATGCCTGCCTGTGAAGTGATTTCTGAGTCGGAAGAAGCAGCTGATTGCTCACAGTAGACTGTCAGTAGTAGTAGAACAGCTTTTGCTGTCTGGCTGTGAGCAGTGCAGCCACATTTATTCTCCCTTGTGACTCAGAGAACTGAATTTAGTCACCACCTAAAAGGCAGCACCTTTTGTTTTTAAAATCATCCTGTAGTATAACCAAAAAAAATAATTTAAAAAAAAGGGAAAAAATCCCTCTTACATTGTAAAAACCCCACTGCAAATCCTGGAGTCCCTACCTAGAAGTGAGTTGCATACATTGAGGTGGCAGAACTCGCCCCTGTGAGCAGCTCGTTGACCTCACAAGCACAGAACCATGGGAAAGCTTAAAGATGACCCAGTTCCATCCCTGCCACACCCCAAGGTGCTCCACCCTGACCTTGAACCCTTCCAGGGATGGGGCAGCCACAGCTTCTCTATCTGGGCAACCTGTGCCAGAGCCTCCCCACCTTCACAGGGAATAATTCCTCCCTGACATCCCATCTAACCCTTGTCTCCCCGTGCAGAGCTGTCAGTCCCTGCCCTGTCCCTGTGCCAGGGCTCTCAGCTGTCCCTCCGTGCCTGTGTGCAGCCCCAGAGCTCTGGGGAGGTTCTGGCAGTGCCCGTGGTGCTCACTGGGCATAAGGACACTGACATAAGGATGGGGCTCCTCCTGTCCTGCTGACTGTCCCACATCACCTCACCCTGCTGGCCCTGAGCAAAGTGGGCAGTGCAGGAGGACCCAGGTGTGCTCCTGTCACCCAGCACCTCAGTCCCACAGCTGGGGCTCCTCAGCAGCGAGCAAAACCCGTGGGGAGAGCACAGATGTAGAGCAGCCTGTGGGAAGGCTCAAATTTTTCCATATTGCTGAAGACTCCTCGCTTGGCACGCGCTCAGGATGGCTCAGTGACGGGGAGCATACTGTGCAGTATTTAATAGGCACAAAACTGCTCTACATTGACAGTGTAGGCTAGACCCAAGCTTTTCACTGTGCTGAAACATGTCATTCATGCACGTCTCTAGCAGCTGACTCGCCTCAGCTCTGCAGGACTTGCATTGGGAAGCTCCATTTTTCCTCCCCGGAGTGGAAATGCAGCCCCTGCACTGCTGCTGCTGGTGACACTGCCGTGCCCAAGGGTGAAGTGCTTGGCTCTGGGTCAGCCAGCCCCCGTGGTTTGTCCCTGGCACAGGAACAAAGGCAGGGTACAGCCTGCCTCCCAAGCTGCCTGGCACAGCATTCCCAGCCGTGCCTCTTCCCTAACCCCTCACTGGCAGATGTTCCTCATGCCCACTGCAAAAATACTGTTGGTTTGCAGCATTAAAGTGTTAAATGATTTATAAGATCCTTACGTGAAATTTATGTTTCATTTCTCTTACTAATCCTTGCTTTCAATTCTTCCCCTTCTCTCTTTCCCGGCAGATTACCATTGAATTGGATAATGCTGAGGTTTTAATTTTATTTCTTTTCTCCAGTGTTGTTTCTATGGTGTTTGTTTTACCAGTAGCCCTGTGATCTGTCCTGTCTCTGCAGCACTGAGCGTTCTGATCTGTGTGCCTGTGTCAGTGAATTAGTGGAGTTTTCAGTCTGCTGTGTGTCTATCCTGGGAATGGTTACCATAACTAATTCCATATGTCATTACTTGGAATTTTAATGCAAATGGAGTTATTTTTGGTGGTCTGCAATCAGGTGCTGCCGTGGTAGATCCCGTGCAGTTTAGGATCACACCTGGAGGATGAGCTGTTCTAAGCAGCCAGCATTTAGCACTTGGCCACCATTCCTGTGCTGAATGTGAAGGGGTTATTTCCTTTTGTTTGGAAAGCTAAATAGTGAAGTTTAATTGTGTTTAATAGTGAGGAGCTGGAAGAAGGTGGGTGCAGGGGAGAGGGGGCAGGTCCTTGTGCAGAGATTGTGCTGCTGCTTTTCCCAAAAAAGGTGACAGTCCTGCAGCTCTGGAGCATTGCTGTGCCTCAGTGGGGTCCGGGTGTGAAGCCACAGGCAGTGGGATGGGTGGTGTGGAACCCTGAGGAATGGCTGGCTTGGGAAGCTGTTTCTGGGTGAAAAGCCCTCTGTGAGGGAGAACTTGGAGTTGAAGTGAAGTGGAGCTTTCCAAGGACTGTGAGAAGCTGAGTGTCTGGTCGGGGCAGCAGCTCAGGGCGGAGGGAGCTGAGCTGCCTGTGCTGTGCAACTTCCTCATCAGCTCAAAAAAACCCTGGTGTGGGTGTGGAATTTGCATAAATGTATAATACTGAGAAAGTGATTGACTGGCACCTTATTTTACTGAAATACCACGGAAAAAAGAAATATTTTCCTCTCGGTGCTTTGTTTCCTGTGTTCTCTCCCAAGCCAGCCTTTTATTTGGAACAAAGCTCAATCACTTAAAATGTCTACAGCATTTCTGACCTTTATTTAGTGGAGTAGGTAATGAAATCTACAGAAAGCAATTTACAGTGTGACTTGTTAATTTTGATGTTAATCACCTGAATTCACTGGGTAAACTTCATTCTGAAAATGAAATATTTGGAGACCTTGCCTGGTGAAATGGATTTGAAAGCCAAACTATTTGCCACTAAAGAAGACAAACACTGTGCACATCACCCACAGTTGGCCTGGAGAGTGTTTTCTGTTCAGGGGGGGCTTTTAGGGCTGGAGTTGAAGGTCCCTTCCCTAAGAAATGGGTTTCCCATCACTCCTTTGAGCCCAGAGTCTGATTTTGACCTGAAAAAAAAAAAAAAAATTCTTGTTGCACAAGTTCATTTACTGCCCTGCCCATCACCTCTGAGCTGTGCTGGAATGAGCTCTCAGGTGTCTCCAAGCTCCACACACACACTTCTGGCATTACAGAATTTCTCTGCTGTCTTTCTCTGGTTTTTTTTTTTTGTTAATAAACCCAGGGTTTTTTTCCCCTCTCTTACCTGAGACATACACACAGCAGCCTGCTCTGGTTTCCAGAAGTTAACCTGTAGCAGAGAAACATTTCCATCAGGCCAGGTCCTTTGGATGATGTGCTGCTGCAGCTTCCCAGAGCAGCACGTGTGTATGGGTATAATTTGAGCTTGGAGAAACTTCAGAGAGAAAGTTGAATTGTTTAAT